TTATCAGTTGAAATAACACACACCCTCTCTCTCTCTCTCTATATATATATATAAGATAAAACACATCAATCATATATACATAGTCCTCTTATTTACGTTTTGTATTTACAAATCAGTTACGAGCAGCCTCACAGACGGCGGGTGCTGCTGACTAGTTGTTCCTTTCTCTATGGCCAGCAGTTCTAAATTTAGAATGGCTACACCTGAACTTTGGAGGTCTCTGACATAGCCTTTTAGCCCATGAGTCCATAAGGCGCCGTTTTCTGAAATATGTCTGGAATAATTTGCCCGGTTCTATTTGCAAAGCATTATCTTCTTAGTTTGCTAAAAAATTAGCCACTCGATGTGATCACAAGCACGGAAAGCAGCTTTTATCACGTAAACGATTAGTGTGGTTACATACTTCGTTCGCCATTATTTTATAAAGAAAAACCAAGTTTTTTTTTAGGACAGTGTTTGCTTGTTTGTTGTTAAGCATAAAGCTACACAATGAGCTATCTTTACTCTGCCAACTGCGGGTATCGAACCCCGAATTTAAGTATTATAAATCCCCCCAGACTTACCGCTGGTCCGACAGGAGCGAGGAGATCATTTTAAAACACACTTCATATCTCTCACGACACGTTGCAGATACACCTGCATGATGCTATTTTGGATCTTCTTGCATGCGACACCTGTTAAAAGTTTCATATCTCGGAACAGAGAAAAAAAAAGACGCACGTGCTTGCAAATATATATAGAGACTTGCTGTAACAGCTGGGAAACGTCACGATAAGAAATATGTGAATTAAATGCTGTAGATACATAAATAATTGCCGAAGCTCGATCTACATTTCTGAAAAAAAAATTCAGTCTTTACGCCAAAAAAAAAGAGGTTTAAATGGAATATATTTATATGTATATAAAAAAAATAAAGCTCAAACATTCGGAATATTGTATAAGATAAAACACAAACATTTAAAAGAAATATTACTTTCGTTTTTTATTGGTTTCGCAGTTTCAAGTTCTCTTCAGTGTAAAGTCTATAAAACCATAATATACGAAATTAATAAAAAGTAATTTACGTTCTTAGATTTTTGTATTCGATTATATATGCGTATACATAAGTTTTTATAGTAATTCTAAAAAAAAACACGTTTAAAGTTATTCAAACGCGTTGAGGAAGGTCTTTTTTTTCTCAACATTATAGGTTATGATCATATGATAACATACATAGTGTTATTGAACAAAGAATGGTAAAACAAACATAAACACACATCACACAACCGATACAAAAATTATACACATCACATACAGAAGAAACACGCTCAATGTATTTTGTTGTTTTGATTAATTGAAAAATTAAAACTAAGATTTTGTTTGTTTATTGTTAAACACATAGCTACACAATGAGTTGTCTGTGTTGTGCTCACCGCGGGTATTGAACCCCGATTTTTAGCGTTATAAGCCCTCAGACTTACCGCTGATCCTCCGGTGAAGTGGTTGGGGGTTTGTTTATTTGTTCGTTTGAATTTATGCACAAAGCTAAACAATGGGCTATCTGTGCTCTGCCCACCACGGATATCGAAACCCGGTTTCTAACGTTGTAAGTCCGCAGACATACCGCTGTGCCACTGGGAGTTAATCAATAGGAAATAACTTTTGTAAGGAATTTATAATAAAGCTATGATTATTTAAATATATTTTTCTTTTAAAAAAATCTAAATAATAAATTAAAAACTTGTTTTTGTAAACCTGTACAAAAGCTAAGAAAATTCTTTTTTTTTTAAATGGTTTTAGCAAGGTTGTCTAAAAGATTCCAAGGATAAAGAAGAGAACAATAGCAATCTTGAAGGTAAGTTTGTTTTTTTTATTCGGAAATTGCAAGAAGTATTCACTGCCCAGTGTTTGTTTTGTTTTACTGTTCTTATATGAAAAATAGACTCAGAATCTTTCTTATTAAACTTACTTTAAAATCAAATTCTGCATTTGGAATTTACGAAAATATTTAAAGGAGAATAAAGTTTCTAATTGCTACATTTATTGTTTATTGCACAAGTTTTATTTTCAGACCTTTAGTCCCGTAAGTAACATTAATAGAAAACTTTCAATTGAACACAAATATTAATTTTTAACCCATTATTATTTATTATAAAGAAACGAGAAAACATAATTATCTCGGGAGCTAACTTTATTGTTTAATAAGGATCATTTTAATTAATCAATTTATTTTATAGGGCTACGCCTGAAAACATAATTATCTCGGAGCTAATTTTATTGTTCAATAAGGATCATTTAAATTAATTTTTTGATTTTATAGGGCTACGCCTGGAAATTTAATTATCTCGGGAGCTAACTTTATTGTTCAATAAGGATCATTTAATTAATTAATTGGTTTTATAGGGCTACGCCTGGAAACATAATTATCTCAGGAACTAATTTATTGTTCAATAAGGATCATTTCAATTAATTAATTAATTTTATTGGGCTACGCCTGGAAACATAATTACCTCAGGAACTAATTTTATTGTTCAATAAGGATCATTTCAATTAATTAATTGATTTTATAGGGCTACGCCTGAAAACATAATTATCTCGGGAACTAATTTTATTGTTCAATAGGGATTATTTAAATTAATTTATTGATTTTATAAGGCTACGCCTGTAAACATAATTATCTCGGGAACTAATTTTATTGTTCAATAGGGATCATTTAAATTAATTTATTAATTTTATAGGGCTACGCCTGCATAATACTTTAGCATTTAGACCTTTCCTGTGACTGACATAACTCTAAACAAGAGCAAATAAAGGGCACAATAGACGTTTTATTTGTACGTCTTATTATTAACTTCGTAGATTAATGAAAATAAATAATGAATATGTCGATCATGCATTCGATTATCTAAATTTTATATTTATGTTAAATACCAGCTGTATAAAATAAACTATACAGAACCATTGTTTGTGTAAAGTAACGAGTTAACTTCTGCAAAGTTTTTCTGATTTGTGAAAAAGCTCTCTCTATGTATCAGCCAATCATTAACATTATATCTTTATTTCTACTGGTGTGTCAACCAATCATTAACACTATGTCTTTATTTCTACTTGTGTGTCAGCCAATCATTAATACGATATCTTTATTTCTACTGGTGTGTCAGCCAATAATTAATACTATATCTTTATTTCTACTGGTGTGTGTTATAAGTTATTTTAGTGTCAGAATTTTCTTTACAGCTGAAGTATCCACGCTTAAAGGTTATAATAATCAACTTAAGGAGAAGTTCGAGATATTGCGGTAAGAGTAGTTATTTATCAACTAAGTTTTATTTTTAAATAAATGTATAAATGAAATATTTCTCATTACATACAATTTTAATGTAAGTTAGTCTGATAATCACTAATCTCAGACTTTCGGTAATAATCAATCACTTTCTATAAAGTTTCTGTTACTGACTAGTTTATCCTTAAAGATGACTTAACGTTTTTAATAATATTGTCAATATGACCTATAGATGGCGGTATTTTTATATTCTATTTTCATTCTAGCATATACTTTTAGTCTCCCAAAGTTATATATCGTTCTTAACTTCAGGATTGTATGAAACATGACATTGATTAAATACAACCATGATATCTTATTAAAATGTAAAATGACAGCTGTTACGATTCTAGTAGTAGTTTAAATTCAATTCCAGATGTTCTCAAGAAGACACGACTTTAAAGATAAAGAAAAATAAACATAACTTTTGCCATTGGAGGGTTACAAATCATCTTTACCTGTTATCGTTTTATATTTATCGAAGGTTTTCTTGGGAAGAACTCATACTTACATTCTCTAAAGATATTTTAAAAGTGGTACAAATATGTGTTGTTAGTTTCATATAATGAAACTAAGAACTTGTTTCACATAATTATCAAATTTTTGCTTCAGAAGTATACTTTCATCCTCTATAACGATCAATTCTGCAGAAGTTGAAATAGTATCAAGCATAAGTTTACATAATAACTTTCTAGTTTTTTGAATAATAAGCTATGGCATCATGTAATAACTTTACAGGTTTTGGTTTGTTTGTTTGTTTTTGAATATCGCGCAAAGCTACACCAGGGCTATCTGCGCTAGCCGTCCCTAATTTAGCACTGTAAGACTAGAGGGAAGGCAGCTAGTCACCATTACCACCTCCAACTCTTGGGCTACTCTTTTACCAACGAATAGTGGGATTGATCATCGCATTATAACGCCCCCACGGCTGAAAGGGCGAGCATGTCTGGTGGGACGGGGATTCGAACGCGCAGACTCCGAGTCCAGCACCCTAACCACCTGGCCATGCCGGGCCACAGGGTTTGGTACGGTATATTAAAACGATTTTATGCTACAACAACAATCGATATAAAGTCACGATGGAACGGAATGTATCAAAAATACATTTTTACATTGTAGGTAGTGTGACGCCACCAACAAATTGCTCGTTTTTGGGAAGGGTATACAACAGACCTTTCAGATCCAAAATATTCATGCACCGAAATAATAAAAATGTGTTCAGATCTGATATTTAGAATTTCCAAGACAGTAAACATGAGAATATAGGGCACCAGGACCAATCAGAAATAGACCTGCCAAAAGTCGTACCACAGGCGTGAGAAGTAAAGTGCGTCGTCTTGTAACAGGTGAGAATCCACTAGCACAAAGGTCAGTGGCAGAAGCCATTCACGTGCCCTAGGCAATAGCAGCTATCATAATCAAGAATTGTACACGTCTGGAAACGAGGTTAGCGAGGTAAGGGATCACGAAGATAGCGTTTCTAGTTTTATCTCTCATTGAGAATGAAACGAGTATTCATGCTATTCCGTGCGAAAACATACCAGTCAACTCGTTGGATGCAGCACTATTGCACTTTTGTGCGATCAAACCGTAGAAATGGGCGCTGGGAAACCATCGTCTTTGTACACTAGATGGAGTATAAAAAGCATGCAAGGCGTAGTGACGTGTTGTGGACAAAGCAGCTTTCCTCTGAAATATTGCGATGCGGAACTATTGTCAAGATGCACAATAATCAGATAGAGCATGACCGAACGTGGCGACATAACTGTTATGGCGTTGTGAGGCTCCAAAGTCGTTTAAATACAATATATTTAACTCTCTGTATATACGCAAAACCATTGTATTGCTTTTAACTCATGCTCTATCCCGAGTAATAGTAACTGTCAGATTATTTGCTGGTTTATGTAAAAATGTATTTAAATCCCGTTTTGTATTTGATACTTTACTGATATTTTATTTCCTAGAAAGAGAATTCCAGAGGGCATCCTAGAAGGTATGTAATCTTTCACGTTTAAACTGTATAAAGGATGCTGGGTTAAATATTAAAATCATAACATCATAAATATAAAACATGTTATAAAGTTATTCTAATAAAAGGTATAGAAAAGATACTCCTTTAGTATAAGGTGTAGTTTTGCAAATTCAGATATTTTTTAAATATTAAGAAAGTTTCGTATCAACGTTATTCACAAACTTATTTTTCGAATTAGTTATACAATTAATTATTGAATATTGTATTGCAGGTTACAAGCTTTACTAACTTACAAAATTAGATGGTATTGTAGAGAAAACTACGTGTTATATTCAGTAATAAAGTAAATACATATTTTATTGTATACCAGAGGAAAATTTCTAATCACTCCTTCTGGAAAGTAACTCAACTATTTTTTTTCTGTGTGTTCTTTTAAGGAGGCGTGTGTGAAATTAACATGGAAATGATGTTATATTCCTTAAGCCTAAAATACTGATGTCGACAAAGGTTTTGCAAGCAAGAAATCTCCTAACCTTCTGTGACATTTTGTTTTGTTACTTTAGACAACAAGATAATGCAAGAATTTCAGCAGATAGGGGTTGCACAAAACCAAAAAGACACACAGTTCGAAAGGGACAGGCTTGAGTCTGAAGAAGAACAAATCAATAGCAATAAAGATGGAATCATAAACACCAAATCGACTTTAAAAAGAAAGGTTCGAGGTTTAATCTGTTTGACATTTTGTTAAGTTTCTTTAGGGCTGAAAAAGCACAGTAAGAATAACGAAGAAAACTAAACACGTATAATAGAACTAGCTAAGGCACATAAATAAGATGAATTTGCTTCTGATGGCAAAGTGAAAGACATATATATGTATTTTTTTTCTGATGTTGAAATAATAAATTTTGTCTAAGAAGTAAAACAAATATCTTGATATCGTCTAACTTTAAATTTACCAACTTGTTCGCCTTCTTGAACAGTTCTAAAATAACGTTTTAATATTTTGTTTCATGATTTTTCTACAAATACCGTATTTTTCGTTAAACGAATAATTTTACACCTTTAAAGAGTCCACCAAATAGTGCTCACTTAAATATGTTACAGTTTCTTTTTTACATAATCAAAAACCATATTTTTCTAACTGCATAATTCTAGCTCAAAGTTTACAGAACTGAAAATATGATATTAATTATTAAAATAATGAAAATTGATAGGTAAAACCAGAGTATTTGAAAACTAGCTTTTACAGATGAGTTAGGCATTGAAACCAAATTCAATATAATATAGGTAGGTAATGCATCATCCATTTTTTCAATAATCTTCAAGAAATGATCAAATATTTTATTTTTATCACATTAAACAACACATATTATCCCCATTAACATTTTTAACTGAATGACCTACACATATTTTTCTTCTAATTAATCAGAAGATTAAGATAATAAGAATTAATTAAAATCTTGTGTTTTACAAACTAAGGTAGTAATAATTAATTAATTAAAATATTCTGCTTTACAGACTAAGGTAGAAAGAATTAATTAAAATATTCTGTTTCACAGACTAAGGTAGTAAGAATTAATTAAAATATTCTGTTTTACAAACTAAGGTAGTAGGAATTAATTAAAATATTCTATTTTACAAACTAAGGTAGTAGGAATTAATTAAAATATTGTGTTTTACAGACTAAGGTAGAAAGAATTAATTAAAATATTGTGTTTTATAGACTAAGGTAGTAGGAATTAATTAAAATATTGTGTTTTATAGAATAAGGTAGTAGGAATTAATTAAAATATTGTGTTTTACAGACTAAGGTAGTAGGAATTAATTAAAATATTGTGTTTTACAGAATAAGGCAGTAAGAATTAATTAGAATATTGTTTTAGAGGTAATTGTTTGTTTGTAGTTAAGCACCAAGTTACACAATGGGCTATGTATACTGTGCCCACCACGGGTATCGAAACCTAGTTTCTAGCATTGTAAGCCGCGGACTTACCGTTGTGTCACTGAGGTTTTACACCTGTTATCTAATTAAAAGTAATCATACTAGCCTATTGCCAGGAACAAATCTGGAGCTACATATAGAATAGCCCTAAATATCATTTGAACTTTTTCTTAAATATTTATGACATTGTTAGAGATAAAGAAATGGTGAACGTCCAAAAGAAGGTAAAAGCATCGTCGATTGAAATGCGTAAAAACAAATATGCTGGAGTAATAATGGACTGCTCTCTTTATTATTGTTTTGTTTGTAGTTAAGCACAAAGCTACACAATGGGCTATCTGTACTCTACCCACCAGGGGTATCGAAACCCGATTTCTAGCGTGATAAGTCCGCAGACATACCACTCTCTCACTGGAGGGCTTTTTTTATGGCCTATGATTGGTAATAGAAAAACAGGTTGGAAAGATATCAAAAATAGGTATTCCTTAAAAGAAACAAAAAAATGATATTTCTTTGGTATAACTAAAGAAGATAAAGTTCGTAACTGTAGTATTTCTTAATATATTTTTACTATTTTTACAGTTGCTGTCCCTTGACAACAGTGGCTACTATGATCAGTGGAAACCTGCTAATGAAAATTCAAACATTTACAATAAAAAACTCAGTTCATCGCTTTACAAATACGAGCAGCCTTTGGAAGAAATTATCAGTTATAGTGTTGATAATGTAGATTACACCCAGAAAGTTGAAAACATTCCTGTTGTATCACCTTACAGACCTAGAGTGAAAGTTCCTCTACCTTTAACAGTATTCTCTTCTGGAAATACGTTAGACTCGCAAAAAACTAGATTTTCTAACACAAATGTCCCTCTTTCACAACAACAGGATCTACAAGCACATGACGAAAACTCACAATTATTACCTGGAATGTCTGTCCAATCTGATGATTATCGTCTGTCAGAAAAAAGGCCTAACGACATTATATATTCGAAATTCGTCGACTTACATAATGCATTAGAGGGAAGCCACGACAAGATAAGCACAGATGGAAGTCAAACAACAAGCTTTATTTCTGGCCAAAATAATAGAGCAATGCTTAATGATATTAGGGGAAGTTTGGAAAGATCTTACCATTCGGTAGATTGGAAAGAAAACGCTCAGAAGTTAACTGTAAATGATAGTGAGGAACAAAACAAGAATGAAAGATATGTTAGGCCCTGGGAAACACAAGATAAACGTAAAACAGAAGATTTTAATTGGAAACAATCAGATTATGCTCAGAATAATAAACTGAAGGTTCAGTTAAAAGATTCTCAATTAGAAAATAAGTCGATGTCTCAACCAGTATTTGATTCGTACACAGAAATAGGGCTTAAGTTATCAGAAAAAATGGATGACACTGCTCCAGCCCAAAATCTAATACACAGAAAAAGAGAACGGGAATTAGCTCTTCTTGACAATATTTCGAACATTTTGAATAAAGTCAGAATACAGTTAAATTATGTGCAATCATATCTACATCGATTTCCAGGCAACAATAACTGGTATCCAATGGGGACACAAAGATATCGTCCATTAGAGCATAGCTATAACAACGGATACTCAGTAAACGCGCAAGAACAAAACTACTACAATAGGTACCCAACAGAGACACAACCACAAACATACCATAAACACAAAGTAAAAGGAGTTCAGTCTTATGGGAATTACCGCAACGTTGAAAACGCACTGGAGTCTGCCTTGGATAGAGGCACGGCGGGCTTTCAAAGAAAAAGGCCCTTGTGGCTGGAGTTGTTGCAGAGGTCACTGATTCCCGAAGTAGAAAAGGACAAAAATCCTGAAAGTGTTTTCAGTAGTAAAGAAAACCAATATTCAGGAAATGTTTTGTCCAGTAATTTCTTTAACCCAAAAAATGCACTCGACTTCAGTTTACAAAATGAAGTTCAAGAGAAATCGAATCTACCTAACCAAAGTTTGAACTCATATGAGACTCTTCAGATCTCTGATGCATTCAACACCTCTAGAATGAATGGATCCGATGTTATCCAATTAGAGAAGACACATCAGCGCTCTGAAGTTCCTGGATACATCTTTGATACTAGAAAGGTGCGTATTGCACAATGAATAGAGAAAAACTTTTCGTTTTTTGTTTGTTTTGTTTTGATGTCACATTGAATTTGAACAAAACAATAAAAATTTCTGTATGGGAAAGCAATATAGCGTTCTCAAAATATTCATAAGGATGAATTTGTTTTGTTTTGAATTTCGCGCAAAGCTACACGAGGGCTATCTGCGCTAGCCGTCCCTAATTTAGCAGTG